TTTTAGTTTTATGTTGATCCGGACAACTTTGTTATTTCCTGTCTCCCACAGATATGAAAATTAATGCACATTACATCATATGGTTGATTTTCAAAGATTTTGTTCATTCACTCATTCTCTTGAGATATCCCAGTTCAGCTCCTCCATTAGCCATGAAATTCACTTCGTGATCTTGGGCCTGTCGTTCTCTTTCAGCTTGACCTACGTTATAGGGTTAATGCTGTGAGCATAAAATAGAACGGGGAGCTATATATGCTATCTTGCATTCACTGAGGAAAAGGTGGGATATGCATGAAATTAATGATAACTGGATAATATTCAGTACTGGAGGACATTGAGATAAGAGGTAGATATACCTCCTAGATTCCCATTTTCCTTATGTCCACAATGGAATTGCTAACAAGCCACCCTTGGGACGCCTCTTTTAAGTGTGTGTTACAAAATGCACAAGCAGGTCAGGCAGTTTGGTTTGCTATGCAGAAATCTGCAGGGTGGGTTTTCCCTGGCATGGAGCTAATCAAATATTATGACCTAATGACACAGATCAACCAGCATGTTTTGGGATAAAAGTTGGCAACTTCAACCGGTAAGCTGAAAGTATTCCTTTGATGTACACTGATAAACGTGGTGCACACCATCTCTTACCCATCACAGACAGCAGCTGAAAAAAAGCCAAAGAGTCATTAAAGATAGTGAGCTTAAAATTCTGTTGTGGAGTTGCCAACAGCAATTAGAGCTGAAATTTTAGGAAAATTACTGAGTTCTGCTTTTGCAGGCTATTCTCATCTTCTATGAGGACTAAGTTGCAACTGACTTAATTTGCATCATGAGCAAAATTAACAAACCAAATGTTATTAGTATGCCCATTCTGCAGAAGGTGTGAGAAAAATCCCCCTCAACAGTACTACCCAACTTTTGAATACATCTTAAGTGTGCATCTTGTCCATGACAAAGACCAAGCCTGTTGTCTATGGACATGGATAGGAGATTTGTTGAGCTGCTTAAACTCTGTAAGTGAAAAGAGATGTTGGGAGTCTAAATATTTGACAGAAAAGAGGCACAGCAAAGTAAACTTCCATAATAGCCCTCGTTTGTATAATCTGATTCACTAATTTGGGAAGTTAGGTTTTCTTTAAAGTATAATTAATGGCAAGGAATTTGCAGGAGTATCCATGTACTTAACAAACAATAAGAATGGCATTTTAGCAGCCTCACTTCCCTGGGCATTAGCTGCACCCATTATTCATGGCTTCTTTAGAAAAAGACATTGGCAGCAGCAATCCTTATAACATATAGGCCGGGAAAGAGTCATAGCAAGTTGACCCTTTACTGTCGGAAATATTAGCATAACGCTCTTGAGCATAGTAGTGTATCAGACAGCCACTTTATCCTCATTGTTGCCAACATCATTTACCAGGGCTGAGTGGGAATCTGAACCCAGGTTTCCTGTATCTGACATTCTGTCCACATTCTATCTCACATTGACTCAGACCATGTTCTTATCACAAGAAGGGTTTTTTTTTTCCTGGGGAGGAGGGAAAACCATAACCTCTTGTGGCACCTTAAAGAAAAAGAAATGTTGTTCCACATCTGTCTTTCTTGACTGCTGCCTGCTATATCAGATACATAACTCTTTGTCCTCTTGCTGCAACAGACTAACACAGCTACCCGATCTTTTTTTTCCATACTTTTTTCCCCTGAGCAACTCCCCTGGGCAGAGGTGAAAAGGTATCTTAAGAACATGAAAAATGCTTACAAGAAAAGCAGTTTCAGTTTTTCTAAGTAGGTGCTACAGTAGGAAATAAAACACAGTCAAATTCCAAGCCTACCCATGGTGCAATGGCATTTGAAAAGCCCTTATTGATCCAGTTGAGGCTGTGCATACATGAGTGGGTCACTCAGACAATCCACTGCTGTCCCGTAATGCACTTCACAACTTCCTAATTAGACAGTTCATAAAACTGACAAGGTACTCTCTCTGAAGCATGGATTACATACTGAATGTGTTAGTGGCAAAGAGAATCCTCCTTTGATTGTGCATTCCCAAATTAAGATGTCACTTTTGTCTTCATGGGAAATTCTAACACTGTAAAATGGTCAGAGTTGGCCAGATAGCTCCGTAGGTTGGAGCACCAGAACCAGGTAGCATTTGATTTCCCCTGTGTCTCCCAGAAGACCATCCTGTGCAGCCTTGAGCAAACAGCATAGTCCTGCAAGGCCACGCAAATCTATAAAATTTGAGAAAACGTAAGCAGCCAGCGCCAGCTAATAGCAGCCATTTCCCCAGTCCCAGGTCAAGGTTCTTCCTCCATACAAACTTGTAGTTCTGATTTAGGAAGGTCCGAGAAGTGTTACTTCTGTTTATAATTAGAATATAAATCTGGAGTACAAAGCTTCAACCCCTATACCTACTGAAGCCTATTAACAGTGAGAAAATCATAGTTTGCCATGCAAATACGCATGCAAATGATATTTTGCTTGGGGGGGGAATAGTCATTTTTAAAATAAAAAGTATAAAATACTTTTTATACTATTCCCTAATTTTGCACAAAATTTCATTTGAACTTTTGCATAGAAAAAAGTGGGTGGGAAACTTCACAATGTGTAGCTAACATCTCTGTTCCCAAGTATGATCCGAAAAAGGCTGTACACTATGATTTTTAACTCTCGTGTTTCACTGACCCCAGTCAGCAATTAATATACATCATAACTTTTAGACATTTTTAGCTGGATGATGAATCTGTAGATTGAAGGCACTGGATGTTAGACAACACAAAGGATAGGGCGTAGCATCAGTGGCCATCTAGGATGGCTCAAGATCAACACCATGATATGCTCTCTGAGGGGGGAAAAAGTGAGTATTAAATTACTATTGTGTCAGCCCCTCCCTCAAACAGCCTGTAATTTTAATGCATGCACCTGCCAGGATTTTGATAATAGGCATGTAGCAATGCATGTCAGCACTTCTGAAAACTTCCCACACAAAAGAGAACTTGCTGTGTGGCAAAGCACAAGATGTAAGAGAGGACAAAGACCTCAGGGATGTTGTTGGCAGCCAAGGCACAGCTGGAAAACTGAACCTGCAACATGTCACCAGGGAGTAAGGAAGACTCCTGCCAAGCTTTTTACAGCAGAGGGAAGAACAGAATGTTTTAAGCTACAGCAGAGCTTCAAAATGTCACCAGTTTGGACTTCATCACCCAAAACACCCTTCTTCCAGTCAGCATAAATGGTGAGGAGTTCTGGGAGAAAGCCCCTAAAAGTTACATGTAAACTAGGCAGATACCATAGATGGATGAGTTGGAGGGCAGGAAAGATATGAGCTCAACTCCTTTGTAAAACAGGTGCATAACAGGAGAGTATGATTCTTTCTTAAATGGAGTGGTAGGGAGAAATGTGGATGAACTGGGGGCCAATTTGTAGAATACAGTAATTTATTTTGAAGCAAGAAAGATTTGAGTAAGATTCCAAGTGAGAAGGGGCTCATGTTAGAAGGGCTAAAGAAAAATTCCCTTTATTCAGACATTTGGCAGCAGATGACTGACATTAATCCTGGGTGTTGTGGTCAGTGACTATAGATTACAGATGTGTTTGTTTTTCTTGTGTCTGTTGTAATGGTTAGTATTAACTGCGCAATCCGAGTCACTTTGGAGACCTACATTTTGTCAAAAGGTGGACTAAATTCACATGTAATTGATTTAATATTTTGGAGAGATCTGTTCAGTAGAGGAAGTACATATGGATAGTGTAGTATTGTCAGGAACAGTTCACAGGCTCTAAGGGTTGGTCTGTGTTAACTATACTACAGAAAACTCTGTTTATAGCTCTGGGGCTTTGTACCATGACTCTGAGCTATTGAAAAGCCACACACCTTCTTCTGGAAAGCACCCTGCACAGATGATCATCTATAGCCAATTTAACATAGCTACAGAGAAACAGATGATCATGATTTGCAATCCATCGCTATAAGAATCTAGGAACCAGACAGGTTGTGGGAAAGATTGCACAAATCAATTCCTACTTTTAAAGTTATAGCAGAAGAAGATCTAGCTTCTATGTTCCACAGCTATATACTTTGTAGGTAGTTAAAATCATCTGGAGAGTTCTAGTAACAGAAAAGTATCACTGCCTCAATTTACATTTAAAATGGGCTAAGAATTCAAAAGGGCTCTTGGAAAAAATATCTAAGATTTAAGCCTACTGCCCTGTTCCTCCTGATGTTCACTGTGTTTGTTACACCTATTCTTCAAACAATCCCACAAAGAGTGAACTAATTTTATTCCCCCCTCCTCCATACATGTGCTTTCTAACCACAATTCTCACATTACTGATACAATAGCCAGATTTTGTGCAGCTGCTAGCACTTGTCTTTCCTAACTGATTAATACAGTGGGATCCATGTGCTGATTATGCTACATTGTAGTGTACTGAATATTTCTGTGCTGGTCATTGACAGTGATAAAATTTTAATTTACATACTAAGTATAGGACTATACTTGAGTCAGTGAAATGTTAAACTTACACCCAACCTACTTTGGGAAACAGTAAGACTATTTCCTGTAATGCTGAACAAAGTGCCTTTCAAATTAAGTCACATCGCTTTTTAAAAATAGTCAAATCAGTAACCTAGCAGACAAAAACAAGTTTTCAGCCCCTAAAGAGTCTACTGTAAATGCATTTGATGGCCAAACCCTCTGCAAGGGTGCTACTGTTAGGATGGCCTTATCAGCTGATCTTGAAAATGTGATCTGGCAAAAATGGGAGTAGTTGCTCACATATGCTGAGCAACCTAGGATGGTATAGTCTAAGACTGGCACCTCGAACTGTACCCAGAAAGTAATAAGATTGTACAGATGCTGGACCATGTGTGAATATTCTGCACAAGTAAAAGAGCGTGTGGTTTTGACGAAGTAGTTCCCCTATACAAGCACTTTACCATACATTCTCTATCATAACACCATTGTACGAGGCAGGACAAATATGCAGAAATCATGATCACATTTAGACTCAAATCCAGGAATTTTTTATTTCTCTGGAATGGAAACAATTCACCAGTCTGAACAAAAAAACTGTAGGTGACCATTGTACATTCTCTTATCATTTTTTTTAAAGAAAGCAAGTGTTTGGTTCATAAAAACTTTTGCCATAAGAAACAATTTTTTAAAAAATTATACACCAAGCTTTTTTTTTTTTTTACAAAACATCAGATGGCTTCACCAGCTTCTACCAGGCTGTTGTCCATTTAATACCATGCAAACAATGCTACATCTGCTTAACACATTTTAAAACATTAGTATTACAAAGATACAAAGTTCATCTGTTGACTGGTGTTTTTTAAGACATGGAGATTGTGATGCACTTCTTTTTGGGGGGAGGTTTCTCCCAGCAGGAAGTTACCAAAATAATTTAGTTCACAAAGACAAGATGTGGGATTGCATTACAAACATGGACACTTTGACTCGTACCTCAGTCATTTTCATGAGACTATTAACAGCCACAAGGATTGGCTTGTGTGGTTCTTGTATCTGTAAGCTCGTAGAGTTCGAAGGTACCTCAATGGACGCTAAGTCCAGGCTCCTGCAGTAGCAGGAATCCTTAGGTGTAAGCCCTTCTTGACCAACGTTCATCCAGTCTCCTCTTACAGGCCTCCAAATGGAGAGCGTTCCACTTTCTGGTTTGCTCTGGTTTCAGTTATTAGTTCCATTTTAGATCAGCACACTGTCTGAAGCAACTAAGAATTAGCTGGCTGAGCCCCAAGATTGACCTACAATTGAACAACGGCGTTTCAATCTGTGCCAATTTCACATGGATTTAGCCCTTTGTCCTCAGCCTCTTTATACATCCTTTGGAAGTCTTTGAAACGAGGGGCACAGCCTAACCTGGCCTCTCCAAAGTGCATGCGGCCCGTGAAGAGGAATTCTCCTTCTCCTGGTCTCACTCCACACTGGAGCAGGGTCTTGATCTGTCCTCGCCACCCGCTGCTCTCCTCTGCAGGCTTAAAGATCTTCATCTTCTGCCTGTAGATTTTATTCACGTTCACATCGATGACAGAGTCTTGCTGCTCTTCCTCGTTGATAACATTTTGGATAGTACCTTTGACAACTAGGGGGGGAAAGGAGATAATTAGTCTGAGGATTTCTGAATACAAATACATGCACAGTTAACATACAGATAGATGTCTATTGCTTCCTCTTAAAGTTGCTGCAATTTTGGATAACAAATATTTGGTATTATTGACTCCATGGCATTATGGAAGAAAAATAAAAATGATTTCAAACTTGATTCTATAATCCAATAGAAAATGAAGGGATGCTGTTCCCAGAAATGTTGGATAGCATTTTTAATTCTCCATGAATATTTCTACAATGAGCTCTTTAAATATGCTGACATGTTTATGAATGCAAACGTTAATTTATGACATGCTGCCAGAATGGTATGTTTGGGAAATGGTTTTACAGTTGTCAGTGATGAAACTCCAGTACTATAGGTTTGAAAAATATACATTGTGAAATATCTTTTCAAAACTAACAGAAGGCTATCAAATGAAAAAGCAACCATTGTTTTCCTTGTGTACCATTAGAAAAGCATACTATAGGAGGTAACATCAAATAGGGTAAAAATTGTTAAGATAATTAACCATCCACACTAAGATTCAGAGGGGATATTTCCATTTCTTTCTATTAATGGCATAGTAATGTTTAAGTTGAAAATGAATTCTCTGGCATTCTGCCATGGACAAACACGCAAAGCCATCACCTGTCTGGGCAACATTTTCCATCAAGACAAACCTAAAGTAATCCATTGCAATTTCTGGATGCTGCATGCTCTTGCCTCCACTCAGAATACTGCCCATTGTGTTCACAATACTGGCAGGCTGTATTTATATCTATAGCACATGTCCAAGATCAGGCATGTCCAGCTGCTTCATGACAACATTTACATTACATTCTGAGCGTGGGAAAATTGCTTTAATGCTATTTAATGTACAGCTAGCCCACAAGTTATGCTGGCTCTTTAAGGGAAACAAACCAGAATAAAAGATAATGTTTATTGCCCCAGACCTCCTTTTTCTGAGACGGTTTTGGGGTATTTTGACACCTCCATGAAACAAGGCATTATCTTGTACATGATGTAATTCAAAGCAGAGGGAAAAGAATTTAATCCTCATGTTGAAAGAACATGGAAACAAGAAGAAAAAAATAGTACAGGTCTTTCACTAGAAATGTATGATCCGATATACTAGTACCTTCCAACTATTATAAACTGCATCAGATTAGAATACTGAACCGAGGATTGACATGGGAGTCTGGTGAAAAATAAATTGTGTCACTGGTATTAACATATAAAAAAAGGAAACCATGTGTTGAAAAAAACGTTTGGGAAATGTGGTTGTCTAAGTAATTTGAACTGATATGTTAATTTTTCTGCTACAGCGATATGCTGTCTCCAGTTTCTCCATGCACATAAAGATCAATTACCAGTTCCCTTCTAGTTTATGACAATTTCCAAAAATATTGCAATACAAAAAATATGATCAATTGTTTATGATTCTGCTGTCTGCTACTGCCTGAAAATAAGGACAGAAAAGCTAGAGCTGGTGATCTTATCATTTTCAAGCCTGTGAAATTTCTGAAAAATTCTGAACCAGAACAACTAGATTGGAGGGCATGTCAACCAGATATGAAAGTAAATGCCAGCATTCACACATTTCCTCTAACAGGTTGAACTGACTTTCTGCATTGCTAAAACTTAAACCGAGTGGTGTAAAACACCACCTGTGCAGAAGCTTAACAGAATGCATCTTAAATTTGGAGGAGAGCGATCTGAGAGGAGCCTTGTCCTGTAGAACCTGCCATTTTATATCAGATATGGTCATCCAGATATATATATGTGTGTGTGTGTGTGTGTGTGTGTGTGTGTGTGTGTGTGTGTGTGCGTGCGTGCGTGCGTGCGTGCCCTTCAGCCCTCAAAGATGTTGAAAATATCCGGTGTGGCCCTCACAGTCAAAAGTTTGGAGACCTCTGCTTTAGGAAGTCAATCCATCTTGTATTTTTGGTCCTCCTCTTTTCCAGCTGCCTTCCATCTTTCCCACCATTATTACTTGTTTCAGACAATCCTGCCTTCTGATGTGCCCAAAGTAAGGCTGCCTCAGTTTCAACATTTCTGCCTTCAGAGATCGTTCAGGCTTAATTTGATCTAGGGCCTGCTTGTTTGTCTTTCTGGCAGTTCAGGGTATCCACAAAGCTCTCCAACAACACCATGTTTTCCCTGTCAACATTCTTTAACTTTCCAGCTTTCACACCAATACAGGATGATCAGAGTGCAGATTATCCTGGTTTTGGTCTTCAGTGACACATCCTTACACTTGATGATTTTTTCCTAATTCCTTCATGGCTGCCCTTCTTAGTCTAAATCTTTTGATGTTTGTTATAGGCAATGCTTATTTAGAGCTGGTCTCCTCTGTGAGCAAAAAAGTCTATAGGATGGAAGAAAACCTACATCTGCATAATAACAGGCTTACATGTAAAGCTCTCCCTGCCCTTAAGCATTTGACTATTTAGGCCTTTGTCCTTATTTGGGAACATGAAGAGGGTAATTCTCACTGCTTGTCCCTAAAAACCTTTGAGCTTCTACCTCTATTATGGCTGCCAGTCTCTCTTTGTCCACTGCAGAAGAGAGCTAGCCAAATACAATAGCTTTAACTGAAGCTCTTCAGAATTAAAACCCATAAAACTGGTCACTTCTTCTTAAAAGGAGTCCCTTGTTTGTCACAAACTGGGACTTTCAGCTTCTTCATTGCTTGCTAAGATTTCTGTAGGCCAAATGGACCAGATTATCAGAATAAGGAAAGAATGGGATTTTACAAAACAATGCCGACACAATAGTCCAGAGAAAGCAAGTAAACCTACCAAAGTCACTGGTGCAGACAGCCAAGAGCACTTCCGTGTCACTGCAAGGTCGGCAGGGAGCTAAGAAAGAAAAAAAGAAAGGGCATTTCAGTGTCTGGAGAAAGCAAACACAACTCACACCAATGCCAACTTTCATCCCCCCCCACCCCAACTCTTCACCTTCAGGGTTAGGCCTGAAACACCACTGAAAATACTAAACAGGCAGGGATTTCACACCTTCAAGCTGACATTCGGAAGACTGACTCTCTTTCAAGGACTGAATGCACCATCATACTCCCCCTTGCCTTCTGAATGTATTTGATTGTGGTATTGTAAAAGCCATCTTCCTATCTTCTTCTCCTTCAGTTAGTCTTTCTTTTCTTAACCACATCGCCTTTTCTAAATGGGATTGTAACCGTGTGCCCTGAAGCTCTGCATGGGTTTCTTGGGGAACCCCTTTTGACCCTCAAGGCTGCCACAGATCATTGAAACATTTGCTCTGAAAGGATTGTGGCCAGTCATTCTTAAAGGAGGCATTCCCCACATTGCAGCGAGGGGACGTGTCCTACTCCCGACTCCAGTCTGTCACCAAGGTCAACATGCAAAAGCAGGAGTCAGAAGAGGGGGACACTGAAGTATCCGTGGATGTATCCCGAGGGGAGCCAGAATATGAAAAAGGTGGGATTCTGTAGAATCTACACAGACAAGTGAGTCATCCCCAATTTAGACTCTCATGTGTGCTGAATGTGGAGAGCAGATGATTTTTAAAAATGATTGAATAGGGCTTGGGAGGGGAGCCAGGAGATTCTTCAAAAGAAATGGACCAGAACAGAACACTTAAGGCGGCAATTAGTTTATATTATGTTAAAAGACACAACTGTACAGATTTTTAAAGACACACACACACAAAATGGAGGATTTTTACTGAGATTGTTCCATGGTGAAAAATGCTTAAAAACTAAAGAAAAAAAAAGAGGCAGATGTCACCCATGGCTTCAACATGACATGTCAAAGAAGATAAGAGAAGAAAAATCCAGAGAAAGTCCTTACATAACAGCCTTTGGTTGGCAACAATTCTAACATCAGGCTGCATGACAGAGCCTGCTGCAGTTTCCACCTACATCCTAGGATTACAGAGAAAGAGGTACCAGAGACATCCCGTTGGCACTTATTTTTGAGTAAAAAATTAAAATAAATATCCACCAGTGTCTACCTAGGTTATTTGACCCTATTGAGGCTTACTGTCTTTTGTTGTTGCTTTTTTTGGTGCCCTCAAGTCAGAACATGATAACCCTAACAGAGCTTTCAAGATGAGATATTAATGGAATAATGTTAAGAGTTACACTGCCCCAGTGAGTGTCCATGGCTGAGCAGGGATTCAAACCCTGTTTTCCAAAGTCTGACATTCTCTCTACTCCCAATAAAATTATAGAGCTAACTGAGTTGTTTCCTCCCATCTCTCCACCTTTCGGTCACATCAATCACAGCTCCTATCTTTATCCTCTTCCTTTAAGTTGCTCATTGGCTATTTTCCCTAAACTTATTCAGGAACTGTGAAGGCTGGAGGCCTTCACAATTTAAAGCCACTGTACTTTTTCCCTTCCTCCATCCCACAACAATTCAGATTTAGTTCCCAAAATTCCTTCCATGAGGGGCTGCTGCTAGAGAAGGCAAGGTTGCTGGTCCATTTTGAAGAAAGGAGAAAACAATAAGCAAATAGGAGCACGGAAAAGGGGTATCATTAATGGTTGCCACTGTGTAAACAAACCTGTAGGTATGGACTCGTACATTTTGTGTGTTTTTAATTAACATTCACATGTCATGGCCTGTAAAAGCAATAACCTTGCATGTAAGAGTATAAACCTTTCCAAAAGCTTAAAACTACAGAAATACATTTTTCAGACAGGTGTATCAAGCAAAATCCAAAGAAACAAAACATCTTTTCAGACAAGCTGTTCAGGTTTGTAGCGCAAGTCCACCCACTGAAAATTCACCACATTCACAGGCACAAAACAACATGGGTGCCACAATTACAAGAACTTCAGCAAGTTACACCTGCGTTGCTGGTTTGCACAACATTCTCCTCACTCAAATCACACACGAGGACTGAATCACATATAGGCGAAAACTATCTAAAAACATGCATGGGGACAAACCCTCATTATTGTGATGTCATCTGTTGACAGAACACAAACACACCTAAAAAATAATTTGAATATAAGGATACCGTGAAATACAATAGTTGGCATAACAAAATCTCTTAAGACTGCTGTTGTATTTTTAAAGGATATTTTAAAATGTTACAGAAATGAAAGCTGCCCCCCTCTCGCCCCCCCCCCATCTTGAAGACAGGACAATCAAGTAGGAACCCAAGGCCAGAGCAGTTACAACTTTGAGAACTGTGTAGGCTGGAAACAGAAGAGAGACCCTAAACTATCTAATCAAGGCAAGAATGTAGCTGCTCTTTGTACTCAGCCAGCAGAGAAGGTAGAGCTGTTAGAAGTGCAGATGTTTCTATAATATTCTATTCAGTTATGGTATTTCTTTTTTCTCTCAGAGGTCGGCCCTATCTCGCAACATGCTAATTAAAACTCCCCAGTGGGGCCCAGAGATCAGGAAGGGAGTTGAGGCGGGGGGGG